GGTGGCTCACGCCTGTAATCCAAGCACTTTGGAAGCCAAGGCGGGTGGATCACCTGAGGTTGGGAGTTCAAGGCCAGCCTGACCAACATGGTGAAACCCGTCTTTAAAAAAAAAGAGTAAGTGTTGCCATAGGTAACCTCAGAAGTGAAGGAGATGTGTTCTAAAGGACTGTCTCCATCTCCTTGGTGAATTATGAGGTCTTACCATTTGCAGACAATGAGTACGGTGTGGGCTTTCTTATTTTCTTTGATTATAAAAACTTCACAAAACTAGTAAGAGGAAAATAAAGATTTTATAATTCCACTGGGCTCACTTTGGACCCATGTGAAACTGATCACAGCAGCATCACCACATTTTTTTCCTTTCTCTCTTTTTTTATTTTTCTGAGACAGAGTCTCAGTCTTGCTCTGTCATCCAGGCTGGAGTGCAGTGGCTCGATATCAGCTCAGTGCAATCTCCGCCTCCCAGGTTCAAGCGATTCTCATGCCTCAGCCTCCTGGGAGCTGGATTACAGGCATACACCACCATGCCCAGCTAATTTTTTGTATTTTTACTAGAGATGGGATTTTGCCATGTTGCCCAGGCTGGTCTTGAACTCCTAAGCTCAGACTATCTGCCCTTCTCAGCCTCCCAAAGTGCTAGGATTACAGGCATGAGCCACCTTGCCTGGCCTGCACCACATTTCTTGAAACCCCATTTTTACCTTGGTTTGGTCAGGATCACAAAGGTCCAGAAGGGTGTCACAGACATGATAACCTAAGGACTTCAGATCTTCAATGGTAAAGTGGGTGCCTTTTTTACTACCTGGAAAAAAAAACCCCATGAACATTTCCAATTAAATCTTAATGACTGAATGCAAATCTAATTTATGATTATCTTTTTAAAAATACCACCACTGGCCAGGCACAGTGGCTCACGCCTGTAATCCCAGCACTTTGAGAGACCAAGGTAGGCCCTTTGCGGGAGCCTAGAAGCTCAAGACCAGCCTGGGCAACACAGTGAGACCTTGTCTCTACAAAAAATACAAAAATTAGCCTGACACTGTGGCATGTGCCTATAGTCCCAGCTACTCAGAAGGCTGAGGCTGGAGGCTAAGGCAGGAGTATCACCTGAGCCAGGGAGGCAGAGTTTGTAGTGAGGTGAGATTGTGCCACTGTGCTCCAGCCTGGGTAACAGAGAGAGACCCTGTCTCAAACAAACAAAACAAAACACCTCTGATTCTAGAAAATTATGCTTCAGGAGAGCGTAGCTGTCCTAATTTTAGTTTGGTTCAGAAGAATCTTTGGCAATGAAAAAGATTACAATCATGATGGTTCTAATTACTGAGGTTTTTACTTTGTGTTAGGCACTATGGCAAGTGCTCTCCAAGCATCATCTTACTAGGCAGTACCTACAATGCAAGCACTATTATTACTGCCAGTAAAAGAAAAGTGAGGCTGGGCGCGTGGTGGCTCATGCCTGTTGTCCCAGAACTTTGAGAGGCTGAGGCAGGAGGATTGCTTGAGCCAGGGAGTTTGAGACTAGCTTGGGCAACATAGGGAGACTATGTCTCTACAAAAAATTAAAAAATTAGCTGGGCCGAGACGGGCGGATCACTAGGTCAAGAGATCAAGACCATCCTGGCCAACATAGTGAAACCCCGTCTCTACTAACAATACAAAAAAATTAGCTGGGTGTGGTGGCACGCGCCTGTAGTCCCAGCTACTCGGGAGGCTGAGGCAGGTGAATTGCTTGAGTGCAGGAGGCGGAGGTTGCAGTGAGCCGAGACTGTGCCACGGCACTCCAGCCTGGCGCCTGTCGACAGAGCAAGACTGTGTCTCCAAAAAAAAAAAAAAAAAAATTAGCTGGGCACGGTGATGTGCACCTGAGTCCCAGGTGGGACTAAGAGGCTAAGGTGGGAGAATCACTTGAGCTGGGGAGGTTGAGACTGCAGAAAGCCATGAACATGCCACTGTACTCTAGCCTGGGTGAAAGAAACCCTGTCTCAGAAAAAAAGAAAAAGGAAGGAAGGAAAGAAGGAAGGAAGGAAGTTAGGTAGTTCAAAAAGGTTAGATAATTTACCCAAGAACACAAAACTTGTTAATGGAGCTGAAACTCAACCCCCTATCAGCCTGATTCCAGGTATTTAGCAACCACTAATCCATACTGCCCCATCAAATATTATATTTCACCTTCATACTTTGTGCACTCAAATGTAGCATGTTTAGACAAAGAAATCCTCTAGATCTGTTATCTCCCCAGCATTCAAAGGCATTTCATCTCCCTGATGCTTTGCTTGGCTTTCTCTTGCCATGCTGGTCTAGGATACACAAAGGAGAACGTACCCACGGTGGAGCCGCCAAAGGTAGACTCCATGGTGTAGCTGTTTAGAATTCCCATCCGCCACATCACAACTCGTCCCGTTCCTTCTTTGCATTTTTGGACCTTAAAATTACAACTGTGAAAAGAGAACTAAAAAGAAATCCAAATTTTCTGTTAATCATAAATTGGCCAATATGAAAGTCTAAGATTCATTAATATGATACAAGAATAGTTTCCTTGGGGTTCATGTATTATTTCTTAAAGCATTTTCCATAAAATGCTCATTTGGAGGGATGTTAACAGGTATTACGGGGGAAAATGGAGTTCTGTGGTCATGTTAGGGAGATGAAGCGTTAACAAAACTAAACAGAAAGCTTTCGCTGCAAGCCCTCTCAGAGTGTTTAATATGTGGACTGTAATCTTCCAAAGGGAAGAGAGTGTATCTGCAATTTGTTTTCCAAACTTTTTTGCCCACGAACCCTTCCTTCCTGTTGTCCCCACCCCACTTCCCCAAGGAGAATTTTGCAGGACTAGGTTTCCTAGAATATCTGTTTGGCATTCAAGGCACTAGCCAACTTTCTAACACTTATTTTCTGCCCCTCCCCAACTTGAACCCCTAAAACTAGTTGTGCTTATCTTCTATGATATGTGTATTCTTTACCCCTGTAATCTCTGCCTGGAACTCTCTCCCCTCTAACACTAACCTTATCACTTGGAGTTCAACATCCTCCGCTATCTTTTATGATCCCTCAGCCCTTGTGTCTCGCTTGGAGTTTGTAATACACACTTGGCACCTCTCCCTATTCACCCTATCCTGCTAAAAAGATTTTGCAGTTGAAAGGTATCTCATTGTCCAGTGATTTTTAAATTGTGATCTGCGGAAACCAGGGTTCTATTGAGGAGCCTCAGGGCTTTTTTGCTTCAAAGATTGAAGGAGCAAGAGGAGACAGGGTTCCCTGCTTCAATTAGTTTGTTTTAGATATGGGTTCTGGGTGTGATTTCCCAAACAAAAAGAAAAGAAAAAACAAAAGAGAGAAGAGAAAGAAACAAAGAAAAGGAAAGAAAGGAAAAAAGGAAAAGAAAGCAAGCAAGCAAGAGAGAAGAAAGCAAGAAAGCAAGAAAGAGCGAGAGAAGAAAGCAAAAACCTAAGAAAGAAAGATGGCTGGGAGCGGTGGCTCATGCCTGTAATCCCAGCACTTTGGGAGGTGGAGGTGGGCAGATCACAAGGTCAGGGTTTTGAGAAGAGCTTAGCCAATATGATGAAATCCCCTCTCTACTAAAAATACAAAAATTAGCCGGATGGTGGCGCCTGCCTGTAATCCCAGCTACTCAGGAGGCTAAGGCAGGAAAATTGTTTGAACCTGGGAAGTAGACATTGCAGTGAGCCGAGATCACACCACTGCACTCTGGCCTGGGCAACAGAAGGAGACAACAACAACAACAACAACAACAGGCCGGGCTCGGTGGCTCACGCCTGTAATCACAGCACTTTGGGAGGCCGAGGCGGGTGGATCACAAGGTCAAGAGATCAAGACCATCCTGGCCAACATCTTGAAACCCTGTCTCTACTAAAAAATACAAAAATTAGTTGGGCGTGGTGGTGTGAGCCTGTAGTCCCAGCTACTAGGGAGGCTGAGGCAGGAGAACTGCTTGAACCTAGAAGGCCGAGGTTGCAGTGAACAAAGATGGCGCCATTGCACTCCAGCCTGGCGCCTGGTGACAAAGTGAGACTCTGTCTCAAAAAAAAAAGGAAGGAAAGAGAGATAAAGAAAGAGACACAGGGCAGGCGTAGTGGCTCACACCTATAATCCCAGCTACTCAGGGGGTTGAGGCAGGAGACTAGCTTGAACCTGGAGGCAGAGGTTGCAGTGAGCTGAGATCACGCCACTGCATTCTATCTTGGGTGATAGAGTGAGACTGTCTCAAAAAAAA